TTTGTTTTTCTTAATGTAGTTGCGTTTTTAGATTTGTAGTTGCAGTTTGCACTTCAGGGCCACCGTAGCATTTGCCGTTGTGTTTTCTCTTTTTGTGTTGTGTTTTGCACCTCAGGGCCACCGTAGCGATGAAAGCCAGCAACTTCATACAATTCAGCTGAGCCCCGCACCACAAAGCAGCTCAACGTAGTGGGATTACTTCCAGCCTACCCAGTTAAACCAATCCAAACAACAGCACTCAGGATCAGTGGTACTATGAAGCTAGTTACCAACTCACTGACTCAATCCAGCTTTAACTGATCACATCTGCGTCGGCAGACCCTTTTCACAGGGGCACGTGCCCCGTTGTGGATCTGCGGTGCCTGGGTATGCCTGGGGAGCTGATTTTTTAATTGATCAATTTTAATTAACGCTTTACTGCAATTCCTTGTCTGTCAGTATCTGTCACACATGAAGTTGGCGCTCCAAGTAAATGTTTGTTAAGATAGTGAATGCAAAACTGAAAGGAAGCACTAATACAGGAGTTTTTTCTGTTTTCAAAGAAGAGGAAAAGTTAATACCAAAAGAAAGGGAACAATAAACTGTTGGAAGCATGATATCAGGTGACGCATCAGAGATTGAACAATTGCAAGACCAAATGTTGATACACTAAACATAAAAAAATGGAGAAAAATTACAATTAAAAGTGGAATCCAAAGCAAAAAGAAAAAATAAATATATGAGAGCAAGAGGGGCTCATTATATATGTCGTTTGTTGAAGTTTCAGGTTAGATGTGTCTAGTTGTTGTAGTTTTAGAGCTCCTCCACTTGTGGTGTGACATGGACACTAAAACAAGTGTTAAAAACAGTTTTTATTGAAGTTTCACAAATCAGAGAAAGGTTTCACAAATCCCAGACCTTAATTATTATTGTTAATAAAAAATGTAATGTTTTAATTATTCTACAAGTAGTTTAGAATGATCTAGTCCAGGTTAGATGTGTCTAGGTGTTGTAGTTTTTTAATCAGAGTAGATTAAAGATGCTGAAGGTAGGGAAAATGTAAGTGGAATCGCCCTTTATTCATTTCCCAGACCAGAGGCTATAATTGGAAGCCAATATCAGCTTTGCGGAAGAAATGAGGTCCAGGATTAATATACACGTGTCGCATCAGCTTCCTCCTCCTCCTTCCTTCCTTCCGCACCCTTCGGGTCCAGAACTGATAGCAGATGTCTCACTGTATTTTGAGTCCCAACATATCCATGTTGAAAACATTTAAGGTGGTGAACCGTATACCCGTGCAGGCTTCAGTATCTCTCCCGGGTCAATGAGGAAGGCCGCCACATTTACTGAAAGGATCTGATTGATGTGTTTTCTTCCATAGAGTCCCATTCTTTGGTGGATTCTTCTCAATGTGTGCATGCTAACACTGACCTCATCCATTGAGCAGCAGCATCAGGATCTATCCTGTCTTAGACCGACAATAAAGTAAAACTTGATCAACTCTAGTAAACTTGCTATTGTGCTGCTGAGGAGATGAAAGTGAAAACCTCCCACGGTTACCTGGATAACTATGTCAGAATAGTTATGATGTTCAATCAAAGATTTGCTTGGAGCACCAACTTCATATGTGACAGACACTGACAGACAAGGAATCTCAGTGTCCATCTGTTCAGCCATACTCTCTCCACTTCCATCAAAAACCTACTTGGAGCGCAAACTTCTTCATCTAAATGAGTCTCACGGTCACTACTGACCAAAAGCATATAAGTTATCACATTTATACAATATAATTATCACATTTATACAAAATAATTAGCTAAAATGTATTTTCTCAAGTGACAGCAATATGCTTCCGTAGATTTTCCATTATTGAACTGGTACATTATTTTTTTAGGTTTGTGACATCATATGTGACATCACATACCATGTAAATCACATACCACATACCATGTAAAACACACATTTACCTCCACAAAGCCTCAGAAAGGCAGCATTTATATAAAAATTTGGAAAGCTGTTCATGAAATTATGTTTTGTTTTTATAATGTTTTTTTTGTTGGCATTCATCTAAATATACTAGTGTGATAACATAGTTTATGTTTGTTTGGTTTTTGGTATACGTCAATTTTGAATTTATATCCCCCCCTGGAGAAAACTCCACCAGCCGCTACTGGCCGAGACGCTACCGTTTACTGTTAAAAAAATGAACATCTAGCTCTCCCATCTTTCTGGCCGTGATATGCACACCTCATAGTCTCATCACTATCATAGAATGGGCCCAAACAGAAATGATAAACACAGACCTGTATGTATGTAGAGGTGTTTTTTTTTTTTTCCTTTTACAATTGCATACTCCAAGTTTTCAGTTTTCAAGTATTTAATGAGGATAAATTGTGCATCCATCAGTAGTGAATTAGAGATATACAGTTAAGTTCACAAGTGGGCCAATTCAATTCAGTTTGGTTTTGGCTTTTTTAATATAAATAATTGCCCAACAATTTGTTTGCTCACGTGCTTTGCACGCTTACATTTTATTTGGTGCCCTATTGTGCCCCTGGATATTACTGGGTCAGCTGACGCCCCTGACTGATCATAAGTCTGTGAATGTGCACGTATAAAGAGTCAGGTTTAAGGTTGCAGACCAATCACTCAGTGATAGAATGTGAATTGATCATAAGTATACATATGTTTACGAGAAACACTATTGGCACATTTCAACCCAAATACCTTGTGAAAAGAATCCCACCAAAAACAAAGAAGGCTGTAAAAACTCCAAGCGTGACCCAATGATGTCTTGTTCCTTAGAAAAACACAATGAGGAAAACTTTTACTCCACAGGACAATTCAGTAAAAATACATCTTCCAAGTTATCAAATTGATCAAATCCGATCTTTAATGTGTAATGGAACAGTTTCATCAGAAGTGAGTGGAGCCATAAGCCCGCCTGCAGCTCTCTCACTGTTCGCTGTCATCTGCAGCAGAGAGAGAACCTCTCCACTTCTAATACAGTTAACAAATGAAATGCACATGTGCTGCTGATTATTCTCTACATTGCAAAGTGGTGATAAAACAATTTTTTGGCTGACGCAGTTTTCTCACATTCTCTCTTTTTAGCTCATTTTCTTCTCTTCCTGTCTCTGTATGTCTTTGCAGTTTTCTTCTCCTCTTTGTGAGTTTTTTTTTTTTTTTGCAGGTTGAAAAACAACTAATGGTTGATCAACATCACTAACTGGTATGGAGGCTTTAGCTAAATGGCTGAATTCTATGTCTTTTTCTTTACTTGTGTCTTTAAAAATCTTTAAAACTCTTAAATACCCCCAAATTTACCTTCAGCTTTCACAGACAGCCAGAATTTAAAAAAATTTAAATACAACTGGTGGGAATCCTGAATCTCCTGCATGACATGAAAGACATAAGTAATGCGATGATGTAATCTAGCGTCATTTAGGACAGTCGTTAGCGACTTTTCATGCTGTGGAAATGAAAAGTCTGTCAGCAGCTGATCACAATATCTGCTGGCAAACTGAGGGCTAATTCGCTACTTTCTTTTTTGTATTTCCAGGAAATAATTAGTGGAAAAATTGTCACGCCACTAAGGAGAGCTGCCAGAGCAAAGTTTACACAGAGGAAAGCATTAACCGCCTCCCAATCAGGGAGAATGTATGGTATCAAGTTTCATTTGCTGGGATTATTAGACTAGTAGATCATCTACTCTATCTTGGCAGTTGTCCATTTGATTTACTCTCCTTTATTCCTCTCAATCTGTCATAGTGAGTTTTTCTTTCACTATTTACTTCACCATTGACTTAAATGTTCAGGATCACCTAAAAGAATAAAAACAAGTTTTGAGTTTTAATAGAGAAATGCAAGAAGAAAACATCTATTTGAGTCTAGAGGATATAAGGTAATGTTAATACATACAAGCATTTCATTTCTGCAATAGTAACCAATGTTTCTATGGATAAAATTTTTTTGAGCAGTTTAATTATCTGCTTTTTATTGCATCCATTCAGCTAATGCATCCATTTTGTCCGTTCTTTCAGATTTAGACAGAGAGAAATGTAATTTCCCTTTTATAGTCATGTTCTTTTAATTTCTAACTTACCAGCTTTGTTGGAAATTTCAGCATGGCAGGTAGCTGTAAAAACAGGAAGTATTATCACATTGAGAATCTTGCAGAAATATTCCAACTCCTAGAAAATCAGTATTGAAAGTTAAAAGACATTTCAGTTAGTCTAACTTTTAAATTAATAAACTTACAGAGAGATTATAACAAATAAGTATTTGATTAAAAGGTTTATAATGACAGAAGTCCTTCACTGTGACCAGGACTGGGCATGAACTGGACAGAGGGCATCAAATTACATTTGGAAACATATTTGTTTATTTACAATCATAAGCAGATTACAAATAACCATTAGAAAATGGTCTTAAAAAGTGAGGGTTAACTTTAGTGTGAATTTATTGCAATTTATCCAGGAAAAATGTCAAACTTGTAACTGCAGATTACTGCCTAAATGCAATGCTTGATATTATATTTTAAAGTTAGGTGTGCATAATCTTTGCATGGCAGTAATACAGTTATACCCTGGCATAAGCCAGATTGATTTAGTTCAATTTGAATTATTCACGGTATCTATCTGGAAAGGCTGCTGTGGAAAGTGATTGCAAAAGTGAGGGACATTAATTACGATTCTTCAAACTGATTGGGTAAATCACTATTTGGCCTCTGCCTACCATGTCAAGCTTTTAGCCAATCGCAGTAGCAATAGGAGCTCTGACCTATCAGTCTTGATTTGTTTCACAACTAGCGAAGTTAAATGATAAACCAAACTTAACAACGTACAAACATC